GGGATGGAGCTGTTCCAGGGGCTCAGGGATGTTGGGATGGAGCTGTTCCAGGGGCTCAGGGATGGAGCTGTTCCAGTGCTCAGGGATGGAGCTGTTCCAGGGGCTCAGGAATGTTGGGATGGAGCTGTTCCAGGGGCTCAGGGGTGCTGGGATGGAGCTGTTCCAGGGTCTCAGGGGTGCTGGGATGGGGCTGTTCCAGAGCTCAGGGATGGGGCTGTTCCAGGGGCTCAGGGTTGCTGGGATGGAGCTGTTCCAGCGCTCAGGGATGGAGCTGTTCCAGGGGCTCAGGGATGTTGGGATGGAGCTRTTCCARAGGCTCTGGGTTGCTCAGCAGCTGCTCTGTGCCTTCTCTGTGAACAGGGAGCACATATTCCTCTCTGGGGCTGGCTCCTGCCTTCTGCAGGGGCTGCAGATCTGAGGAATGGGAATTTTGYAGCTTTGTTTTAGCTGCACTTCTAACAAAATACAAGCCCAGAGTTAAACAGGAATGAGAAGCAGCATTTGGAGCAGTTGGAGCCAGSAMTGTTGTGTTCCCCATGTTGTCACAYTTCCTGTTTAAGAAATGAAATAAAGTTAAGGTTTTCAGGGTGCTGCTTTCCCTGGGACTAAAAGCCTCGGCCTTTCCTTCAGGAGCAGCTCTGAGCCATTTCTTCCTCTCTTGGCTGTGTTCAGATGAAATTGCTGCAAGCCYTTGAGTTGGTCTTTTATAATAATTGGCATAATTAAAGCCCCACTGACTGATTTCACTCCTCTCTGTATCAGGGCTGTAATGGAATGCCTGGTCCCTGGACCTGCTGGRCCACTCTCTTTGCTGAGAGCTGTTCAAATCAAATGTCATTTTAAAAATATTTCCTTTGGAGAAATGCTGAGGAGATTGTGCAGGCTGTGCACAATAATTGGTGCTGCTGATGGGTGACTCAGTTCAGCAGGAGTTGAGAAGGGGTTTCAGGAGCCCCAAGTAAGTGGGATTTKTGAGCAGTATTTTCTCTGCCTTTGGAGTGTTTGGAGGCGCAGATTGAATTCCTGCTTTCAGGATGGTGAAGTGTCAGGAATTGTACAGAGACACCTAAACAAGAAAACATCGATAAAAACATTGCTGAATCTGTATTCTAAAGGACAAAGTTCTCTATTGCCATCCCTGCCACCTCTGATGAGTCCAAAACCCCAGTGAAGGTGGGGTTGGTGTTGTTTGGAGCCTTTCTGGGGCTGGAACTCTCCRAGGTTGTGTTTTATGGAAACATTGCATGGCTGACTGACTTCTTCATAAAATCATTTGTTCCATRCCCTGTGTTTTCCAGTTTCCTTTCATCCATTAACAGGTAAAGGGGAATATTTGGCAGTGTTTGGTTSTGCTCTAAACAAGTTTCCACCAACGAGAGAGGTGTTTTCATAACAGAAATGCCTGTTGAGAAATCCACGGCTGAGCAGTCGCGTGTCCTGTGCCTCCTGAGTGCTTTGATGCAGGAAAATGTCTTTGTGCAATATTGGCCTGTTAGGGAGAATGTAAACAGGTTTTTATTTTTATAGTRTTTTGCCATTAGCATGGCTGACAAACCTCTTGCTTGTTGCTGAGCCAAAAATAGAGCACGAAATCTAAAATGGAAAAATAAACTGTGAGGAAAGATTTGAATCCAGCACTTACCATCTGTGAGCTCTGCTCTATTAAGCTGATCATAAAACTWCCATTGGTTTATTTTCCTTCTATTTTTCTTTGTTCTCTGTGAAGGAGGTGAATTTTTTTGCTCTCTCAATTCAGTTTCTGGCTGAGTGTCTGCGTTTGGTGACTTTCTTGGCCGTGTCACCTTTGTGCTCTGTTGCTCTTCTGGGTCACTTAAATGCTTCATTCTCCACCTGGACCTGAGAACAAATGAAAAGACCTTGAAATTACCTGACTGCAGAGCTGGAGGCCGTGCAGAGGCTTCAGCATTCCCAGAAGCACTGATCCCCCATCCTGGTTTGGATCTTTTGCCATGGTGCTGTTGGGCTGTTTTGTGTGCAGAGGTGATTTTTTGCTGTCCAGGCTGCATCTGCTCTCTGCTGTGTTTGGTGGTGTTTGAGAGCAAAGCTCAGTGAGCCACAGAGCCTGAATGTCCTGAGGCTCTCCTGCTCCATCCCGTGCAGGACCTGCCGCTCGGGAACCCTGCAGAGAGTGGCTGCTGCCTCTGACTCTCCAAAAAARCAGGGCTGAGAGTGAAAGCAGATATTCCTCTCTGTTCCCAGCTCCCCACGGAGCAGCTGGCGTTGCTGCCCATTGTAAGCCACAGCAGGGCTGAGAGCTTGTAAACAAGAGGCACAGCAAGTCTTAATTAGCATGACTTGCATAGTTAATTACAGTTACAGTGTTTTTTCCACATAACTGGAATGAAAAGAAATAACATTTGAGGAGGGAAAACTCAGAGGACAATGGGAGTTTGATTTGGGAAGGGGTGGGGAGAAAGCAGAGGATTCCTGCAAGCCTGGGRTTTGCTTGCAGCAGGGAAGAATGACTGAATTACATTTTTACTACGAGCAGACACATCTGGATCTTGAGCAGATCGGTGTTTAGAAAAGATTTGGAGTCCTGAGTGCTGCTGAGAAGGGAAATGGCAAAATGTGAATTTCTTTGGGGTCTTAATTTTCAAGTCTGGAGGAGTTCTGAACCTGTAGCAACCTTCCCTGTGATACTGGAAGCTGGAAAGAAACSCGGTGGCAGAAGAAGCTGGTGCTTGTATTTGTATTAAACATCAGAGGAAAGCGCTGGAAAATTATCTGGAAAATATTACAATGTGCTGAAATGTTTTGCCCTTATAAAGAAGTGTGTTTATAAAGACTTGAAAGACAGCTTTCCATATTCAACAGCGTGAGTGCCTCAGAACTGTGTTTGTGAAACGGTTCCATTGTTTTGTAAGCAGCCTGAAGGGCTCTGCACGGGCTCTCTGGGGCTGCAGTGGAGCCCTTCCCACCTGCACAGTGACAGCTAAATACATTGTCATGGAGTGTGGGGAGAAAGAAAGAAATGGAATGTGAACTGTGTATGACATTTTACAAGGAGAAATAGAGATTTGTAACTAACTAGAATGAAGGTGAAAGAGCTCAGCTGCTGGAAAAGGAGGTGTTCAGATACCAGCTGAAGAGCAKTTGTGAGAGCTTAATGCTGGGGTRAAGAGTCCAGGGAGTGGCTGCTTAAAAGGGGATGTTTGGGTACTGGCTGGGAGCGTTTGTGGAGGAGCCRTGGAAGRTTCTGGAGAGAGTCTAGAGGGTTGTGCTACTGTTGCCTTGATYGGCYGCTTTCAATAATGACACAGACACGGTTAAGGGGATAAAAAGGGTTTTACCTTGGTGTTTAATGGGATCCCAGGTGCACAACACGATGGAAAATGCACACCCATGTACCGCACAGATACAAGTTTTATAGATTTCACAAATTAGTAAATCTATCTAGAATTCCCCAATATGAAACTCAATGAATGCAGTGATGTCCCCCTATTCTAAAGAATCCCCCCAGGATGAGGCCAGAGCCCAGGTTACACAATGTGTTCAGAGAGAAGGCTCARCCAAGGCTGGAGCCTCAGGTTTAAGATAGCACAGGGCTCACTGACCCCTCACTGAGGGTGTTTGGTCT